AATCTCTTCCTCAGAGATACTGTAAAAGCTGCCCAGTGTCCTTTAGTGGAGGCCAGAGATCAAAACTGTGGCCCTGGTCACTGAATACAATCCAGCTTTGTTTACTGGTGGGCATCTCCTCTTTCTAAGGCTTATAAAGCACTTAGTGATTGTTTGACAAAAAAAAATATATGGCCTCTTGGTCATTCTCCCCAGTAATGAATTTGCTCTATGGCTATGGAATTTATGCTTAATATTTTTTGAGAGGTTTTTACTCTAGGGCTCGTGCACTTGCCAGAAAGACAGAGAGAGACAGAGAGATAGAAGATGAGAAATCACCCCTCAGGGGGGATGGCCACGCCACAATTCCTTCTCCTCCATTCTCTTCTCAGGATCTTGGGCATGCACGCACACACATGCCTGTCGTGAGTTTAAGCCACTGGGTCCAGGACTCAAATCGTGGTCGACTACATGGGAGTCCAGTGACATAGCCATTATGCCAACTGCTGGTTCCTATGCTTAATATTTTATACATACTCAAAATCCTCTTATTTCAGTGCTAAATTATAGCAGATCTCTTTGAGGACATTTTAACAAAAACTAAAGTCCACCCATGTGATACCAATAATACATGTGACTTAAGTGAGGTGATAAAGTATTAGCTATGACAAAATCTACCAAGCTCACTTCAGGCAGCTTTGGGCTATAAGATGGTACATTTTTCAAAAATCACTAAAAGGCAACAAAATATTCATCTAGGATAGATAACAAGTGAATATAGACTTGTGAGTATTGGACCAATGTAAAACACATTTCTTTTTTTTTTTTTTTTTTTGAGAGGTTTTTTCTTATAGGGCGCGTACGCTCGCCAGACAGAGAGAGACACAGAGACAGAAAGCGAGAAATCACCCCCCAGGGGGGATGGCCACGCCGTAATCTCTTCTCCTCCATTCTCCTCTTGGGATCTTGGGCACACATGCACACGCACGCACCCGGCATGAGTTTTAAGCCACCGGGTCTGGGACGCGAACCGTGGTCGACTACATGGGAGTCCAGCTACATAGCCATTACACTAACTGCTCGTCCCTAAAACACATTTCTTACCATAGGTTGTGGTTGGCTATTTATTTATTTATTTATTTATTTATTTATTTTAAAAGGTTAGCGAGTGCTGTGTATTATTAATACTCTCAGTGAAAAATCTCAGTCTTTTGCAATGACACTGGAACAAATGACTTGGAGACCTCAGTGGGCCAGAGGCTGAGCCATATGCTTCCTCTGAAGCCCATCCTAGAGGTCAGCCCTGTTTATACCACCTTGAGGTTCACACAGGAAAGAAGGGAGAGGGAAGATAGCACAGCAGCTGTGGGTGCAGCTAGAGTCAAGCAAATGCCTTCTGTGTGGTTGGTCAGGTAGATTTTACCACCCAACTGCCTTTGCTACTTGACTTCCACTTCATCCTACCTTTGGCTAGAAGGAAGATGCAATAGAGACCTTACAGGATCTCAGCTCACAAATTATCTCCTAGGCCATGCATTATGCTGTTTGTTCTCTAAGTAGTTCAAGAGCTCTTCATTGAACACCTACCACAGCAAAATATGGGCAGCACTTGAGGAAACGAAAATGTCATCAGATGTGGGGAGAGCCAAGAATCCCAGAGAAACAGCCAATTCTGGAATATTCAGCTGGGCATAGAGAATAAGGTGTGGCATTACGGGGCTGAAGGCACCACAGTGAGATGAGATAATCCCCAGAGAGATGCTCAGGTAAAAGCCCCACTGTGAAAAGGTAGAAGAAGAACACCCAATGAATTAACCAGCCAACCAATAGGCTACCAAATGGTATCTGATGCCCCATGTGCCCTGCTTCCCCAGGTACCCCTGGTTTTAGCACAGATTCCATACAAATTGTTCTGAGTATCTGCAGTTAAAAGAGAAGGCTTCAAAACTGACCAGCTCTCTGTGTTCTCTTTACTTTGACAGTTCCCAAACAGGTTTAATGGGCTTACTCCCTAATGCTCCAGGGTGGCTGGTGGCCCTGCTGCCTACGAGTCCTCTCTGCAGATTGCTACTTGGCCTTGCAGGAGCTAACCCTACAGGCAGGCCACAGGTCTTGACCAGTGGTACACCCTTCCCTGCTCCATGCTGCAAGAGCTATGGGGACTTCAGGCCTGAGCACATTTAGGTTTACTATGGTGGTGAAACTTGACAGTCCTTTGAATTGGGCACCTAGTTTTTCTTTGGGGATGCATAAAACAAGCGCAGACTTATTTCCTGTTTCCCTTGGGTAATAGTAGCAATTCTTATCCCACCCCCTTGGCATCTTTCTTGTATGTCCATAGCCTGAATGTTGAGGCTTCAAGAACTGCCATGGCAGTCTCTGGTAGCTAGTGTTGAGCACACAGCTTTATAATGAGGTTGGAGTTTGGGGCTATGCATTTAATGAATTTTGTATTAAGATATAACACAGATGCTATCATTTGCATTTCACAGTGCTGTTTAGAACAGATGTTTAATACTTAATGAAGTGAATATTTAGATATGGCTATGCATTTGACACCTACCATTAAAGAAAAGAGCTTCAAATGCAGGGAAGTCCTCCTTAAGCAGTGGTTTTGGGGCTTTAAGCAGTGAAATTTCCAGATGGGCCGGAGGGAGGATCGATACTCTCAAAGGACAAGCAGTTCTGCACCTTAGTTCTCTTCATGAATGGCAGGCTTGTTATCTGAGCCTGGGGCAAAATGGCCTCCTGCTACTGTCCAGAGGGGCTCCTTAGGGGCCCCTGCAAGCTGCTCTCATCCCAACCGACCGCCAAAGCTGCTTCTGCCCAACACTACGACTTATTTGGAAGAAGCATTAGGTGAGTTTTCCTCTCTAACACAGATTGTTCTAGAAAGGTATCCCACCTCTTGCAGGCTGATTCACGAAGTTAAAGCCAAGTTATGAATATTCGACAGCTTTCTATATATTATGATGTATACTATGCTCCATGGAACACTATAGTGTGCTTATTATAGTTTATTTCATAAGTAGATGCACCTTAAGAACAATTTATTTGAATATTAATATCTCTTAAGGGAGACATCATCAGCCTGACTAGAAAACATTATTATGGTAAAGTCCTGGGAAAAATCTTGCATTGCAAGGCAACAAAATCAATATAAAAAAACCCACGTGGCATACTTGATAAAGGACATGAAGACCCATGCAGTTGCTGAGTTACTCTGGCTCACTCCAAAGAGCTGTTCATGGACAGGCCTGGCCTCACCCACCCCAGACAGAAAGAGCTCCTCAGGACCCCCCTCCCTAGGGGACCACTAGCTACCATGACTATAGCCCATAGAGGCGAAAGACAGCCAGGGTCCAGCCCCGTAGCAGGACAGACGCCACCTTTCTAGTGTGGGGGGAGAAAGAGCCTCATACTGCTGAGCAGCTGAGGGTTGGTCCCAGGGTTGGAGCCTGTGATGGGAGGCAGTATGTCCCACCAGGGGGTTAGAAAATGGCTTCTCATCCCATAAAACTAGAGTCCAGATGATCTGGGATAAGTCAAAATTTCACATTTTCCAGCCATGAGACCTTGGGTGAATTTCTCAATTGCTCCATCTCTGTGCCTCCATTTCCTTCTGCATACAACACGGATAGTACCATGCCTTGTGAGGATTCAGTGGGTTAATAATGGTGTAGTGTGGGGCCAGCGGGCAGTGTGCTGGTTGGGGCACTGGTCTCCCACATGACTGACTGTGGTTCAAGTCCTAGACCTGACGGCTTGAAAATTACACCAGGCACCTGTGAGTTAAGTGCCCAGAATCCCAGGAGGAGAATGGAGAAAGGATTGAAGCAGGGCAATCCCTCTGGAGGGTGACTTCTCACTTTTTTTTCTCACTGTCTCTCTCTGTTGAGCGTATGCACCCTATGGAAATCCCTTCCCCACCCCACCCCATAAAAATGGTGTGCTCAGAGCAGCAGCTGGTACAGAATAGGTCCCATAGAGATGTTTGCTATTGATGTTGCTGTTACTATTATTAAAAGCAACTGTATGTAGAGTTTTGGAAAAATTGTTTCTTCTCTCTAGGTTTCAGACATTTCACCTGCAAAACAGAGGGAATAATACTAGCACCGTCATAAAAAATAATAAATTTATTGATGTGTTGCAAAGCAAGCACCTGGCCCCAGACAGGGTTGAAAGTTGGGGCCCTGCACTGTTCTGTTCTCTGTGGACAAAGCTGCCTACCACCCACAGGGTTCCACCTCCTGCTCGCTGCCTGGGCTATAGGACTCTGTCTGGAAAGAGGCAGGCCAGCTGCAGCCCAGCTGAAAGCTCATTTGGAAAATGGAAATGTGTATCATAACCCCATTTGTCATGCGATCGTGTTCCTGACAGCTGCGTGGTACGATCCAAAGGAAAGATTTAGACCTAACGGGGAAAAATCAGTTAAAATTGACATATCCATTAGAAGATTTTAGAACTGAAAACATATTCTTCATAGAGTGTTAGGATGACTTCTTAGGTGATGCTAAATCAATATCTCATACTTTGGGTGAATTCATTATTTTGTTTTATGAGAACTGTCTGATTCCTAAATTCTCTTCTATTCTGCATTTTCAAACCGCCCTGGGAAAGCCACAGATGAATCTTTTAGACTCCAGTCATGGTTCCTACCTGAAACTCTCCAAAAAGATGGCAGGCAAGGTAAGGAAGGTTAGATGTTTTCAAATGTATCTGTCGTTGTTTCCAAACTCAAGTGCAGGGCTCCCATCTCAGATGCAGTTCCAGAGACCCAGTGCCTGCCTGACACCCGTCTGTCTCTTAGAGCTTTGGCTCCATTAAGGGCAGAGATCCCCTTCAGTTTCCTCCTATTTTTGGGGTCCTGCACTAATCTTGTCATTATTAAAATTGAGAGACTCAAAGTAGATGCTAACGGAAGAACGATGGTGCCTACCGAAAGAGAGGGGACACTTCTGACTGCTGTCCTGCTGACCGGCCAGGTTCTCCACATCTTCTGAAATGTGTGGAAGACTTACCGAGAGCCAATGGAGAGTCGATGGGCAGAGGGCTGGGGGCAGACTAGAAGAGAGGACAAAGTACAGAGCAGCCCCAAAGACCCATCTGCCTCCCGTTCATTCCCTGGCCTGGAGTCGCCCTGAACTTGGCCTGTGCACAACTAAAGCCCATGAGGGGAAAAGACAGAAAGTGTGTAATTTTTGTCTCTGAAGCAGTGTTTTCATTCACATCTGAGAACACACCACATAATAAGGAAATTATGAAGCTAGGTAAAAAAAAATATTCACAAGTATTTTGATAAGTATAAAATAATCCTCTGCAGGGAAGCAGCACCGGGCAGTGGCTGAGCCTGTGGCTTCTGGAATCAAGCTCTTGAGTTCAGCCGCTCAATGTATTCCGCCATTTGCAGAGGCAAGTGGCTTAGCCTTTGTGCATCTTTGTTTCTGCACTCTGAGGTGGCAACAGGATCCTTGCCACCTCCTAAGATGGCATTAGAGCACTTCTCAGTGTCAATGAATATCGGCTATTCTAATTTATTACTGCTGTTCAACCTACCTGGCAAGGAGAGCACAGTCTTCCTGGCAGTTAGCGGCTCAACATTTGTGGTAGGGCTGACCGAGCAGAAATCACCAGTGTCTGCAGGCCAGTGCTCCCTCCCTGGTACTGGAGCGCCAACTCGCCAATCCTCACCTCTAGTTCCCATACTCAGCCTGGGCTCCCATGGACATTCAACTACTTTCAGATAATGAATTTGGTTGGAGCTACACATCTCATAAGGAGCCCTTGGAGCTTGGTGTTTCTGTAAAACCACCCCAAATATGTCCAAGTGAAATGTACTCAAGAAAAAAAGAGAAAAAAAAATCAGGAAATCTTTGCTGTTATTTGAGGCTGTTAACCCCAAGGCAGCACCTTCCACATGGTGTATTTCACCAGCTTGGCTGTATTAGGTGAGGTTTGAGGAATGAGATAGAAGAAAGAAAGGAGCAAAAGACCCTTCATCAAATGGGTAGATTAGAAATAACTGCTCTCAGGATCAACAGATGGCATAAGATGGCATAATGGTTACATCAGGTCCCAGACCCATGACTTAAAACTCACGCTGGGTACGTGTGCGTGCATGCCCAAATCCCAAGAGGAGAATGGAGAAGGGATTGTGCCGTGACCATCCCCCTTGGAGAGTGATTTCTCACTTTCTGTCTCTATGTCTCTGTCTTTCCAGCAAGTGCACATGCTCTATAGCAAAATATCTCTCAAAAAGAAAAGAAAAGAAAAAGAAGAAATAACCGCCCTCAGAAAGACCTGTATGAATCTATAAACCCCTGGTATTGTGGCTTCTGGGTGTTGCTGTGTTTCTGAGCCTGGAAATCCTCATTGCCCGCAGGTAATTCAATACCTTCTGTGTTTGTTTCCTGTGGCTGCCAGGAACAACCACAAACTGAGTACATTTAAATTTGTTTTAAAACAATAGATACTTACTCTCTCACAGTTCTGGGGGCCAAGTGTTTGAAATCAAAGTGTCAGCAGGGCAGTGCTGCCTCTGGAAGCACTAGGGGAGGATCTCTCTGTGCCTCTTCCAGCTTCTGGTGATCCCAGGGGTTCCTTGGCTTGTGGCTGCATCTCTTTGACCTCTGCCTCTATCTTCACATTTCTGCTTTTACCTCTGTAGGTTTGTATGGAATCACGCCTGCATCCCTCTATGAGGATACCTGTAAGGACATTTAGGGCATCCACCAGGTTAAGTTCCTCCACTTAAGATGCTTTTATATTTTTTTAAAGAATTATTTTTTTAACTTTCTTTTTTTCTTCCTTTATTTTAATTTGACCAGAGAGGGACAGCGAGAGAGAGAGAGAGAGAAAGTGAGAAAGTAAGCCGCTAGGTCTGGGACTCAAATTGTGGTTGGTCATGTGGGAGTCCAGCTCCCTTAGCCACCATGCCACCTGCCAGCCCCCATTTTTCTTTTTAAATAATTATTTTATTTAACTTTATTCATTTCCATTATTTTATTTTATTTTTTAAAGTTGACCAGAGTGAGACAGAGAGAGAGAAAGAGAGAGAGAGAGAGAAAGCAAGCCGCCAGGTCTGAGACACGAACTACAGTTAGCCACATGAGAGTCCAGTTGCCTTAGCCCCCATGCCATCTGCTGGCCCCAAGATCCTTCATTTAACTACATCTCTTGTCATGGTTTTTAAAAGGTTTTTGCCATACGAAGTATGTGCTTGCCACAGAGACAGTGAGAGGGAAAGTGGGAAATCACCCACTCCCTCCCAGGGGTATGGCCATGCCACAACCCCTTTGTCTCCATTGTCCTCCTAGGATTTTGAGCACTCACACACTCACACAGTGTAATTTTCAAGTCACCAGATCTGGGCCTCAAACCACAGTCTGCCATGTGGGAATCCAAACCCTTAGCCACCATGTGACTTAAAGTAACAGACACTCGTTTGCCATATAAAGCCACATTCATAGATTCCAAAGATTAGGAAGTGGACACATCTCTGAGGGATACCTTTCTTTCTACTCATTACCTCTCAGGCACGGTGGGGATGAGATGAGATAGAGCCCCAGAGATGGTAGCCTTGTCCAACCCGTTGTGCCTCTAGCCAGAATAAAAACCATGGAACATTGGCTTCATCCAGGACAAGAAGCACCAACGTCTAATGAATTTCCATCACTGTATACTCAAGGCTGCTGTGCGTATGGAATCTCCAATGGGGCAGCAACATGGCGTGTGTGTGTTGGAGGTGGAGAGTGGGAGAAACAAACCCCTTTCTTATAACTGGGCCTTGGTGGTTGTGTTGGTCCTTCCTGGGAGTGGCCATCACTACCCTTCACGTCGCTCAATGCCACTTTCTTCAGTTCTGGCTCTGTCACCACAGTACCACCTTTTCCAGGCCTGCCCACACTCTGAAGCTCCCAACACCAACCTCCCTCGGCCATCCTGTAGATCTTCCTGATGATAAGAGGGACCTCCCAAAGGAGGATGCATGGATCTCCTGAACATCTCTTGCCTCTATTTTGGGCTGGATTTTAGGGCAGGTATTTTTCCTCAAACTCCAAAAGCAAGAACAACGTAGAACATTGAAATCCAGATCCCAACTGAGAAGGCAGAGTGACATCCACAAATCCATGGTGGTTCCAAATCCTGTCTTGTATTGCTCCTCCACAAGGTCCCCTCGTTACTCCACTTTGCCCACTTGGCTGTCATGCTTTCCTCAAAATCCAACTCTGAGGTGAGCACGTGGAAGTAAGGTTACAAATGCTTCGAAAGTACCTAACACTCATCCGAGAACAAGACCACCTTTGGAAGTAAAAGTCTGCTTTGTTAAAAGGGGGGGGGGGCAGAATACTTACGCAGTGCTATTCATTTCTGTCCCAACTGTGCTCATCTTGCCTAAAACACTAGCCAAGATCCATAAGTCATGCTAATTACAACCAGGCGACTGCTGGTGATCCCACAGCTGCCGCAGGACCCTTCGTTTGCATTCTCTGCTCTAAGAAGAAGAAATGGCACTCTGTGTCTAATCCGTCTTTTAATTATCCTTTCCAAGGACAAGGTTTATAACCAGCCCCTTTCAATAAAGATGTGACTGATAAGGAGTCCAATGCAGGGTGGCCATAAAGACTGCAATGCCGTCCTGAAATGATGAGTTTGCTGTGTTTACTTATGAGAACATCTATGTGTTTGTCTGGGTGTTCATGTATGTACTTGCTGCTGGGTGAAAGACTATGCTCTCGCAGCCCGGCAGGGATGCTGAGGCTATTCACAGAGAGCTGGCTCACATTGACAGACACTTTTAAAAAGCAAGGAGAGAATGTCATGATCCACAGAGCATCATGATAGCAGAAATCAGTTATATGTAACTTCCTTTCTTTTAAAAAATCTTTATTGGTTTATTAAATTAAAAATGTAATTGCTGGGGCTGGCAGGTGGTGTGGTGGTTAAGGGTGCTGGATTCCCACATGGATGATTGTGGTTCAAGTCCCAGACCTGACAGCTTGCTTTCTTGCTTTCCCTCTCTCTCTTTCTCTCTCTCTCTGTCTGGTCAAATTAAAAAATAACACAACAAATGGAATTTAAAAAATGATTATTTTAGGGACCAGCAGGTGGCATGGTGGTTAAGGTGCTGGACACTCCCACATGGCCGACCACAGTTCAAGTCCCAGACCTGGCAGCTTCCTTTCTCCCTTTCTCTCTCTCTCTCTGTGTCTCTCTCTGGTCAAATTAAAAAAAAAAAAAGAATGAATAAATAAAATAAAATAAATAATAATTAAAAAATGATTATTTTAAAAAAGTAATTGCTTATTAAAAAATGTATGTGATACACAAATAAAACAGAGAACAGTACAAAGTTCGGGAGCAAAAGCAGTTGTCCTCTCTTTTGCCACCCTTGCCCCACTCTACTAAGCAAGGACTATTAGCAGGTATTGTCTGTGTATGTACAGATGTACACACTTCTCTCTCTCCTTTGTGTTTTAGATAGGGTCTTGTTATGTTACCAGGCCACTCTTGGGGTTGGGGTCCTCCTGCCTCAGCCTCAAGTCTCTTAGATGTGAAACCACCACACCTGACCTACATTTTGCTCTCTCTGTTTAAAAATTTGCTGTAAGGTGGGAACCAGCAGTTAGCGTAATGGCTATGTCGCTGGACTCCCATGTAGTCGACTGCGGTTCATGTCCTGGACCCAGTGGCTTGAAACTCACGCCGGGCGCGTGTGCGTGCATGCCCCAGATCCCGAGAGGAGAATGGAGGAGAAGGGATTGCGGCATGACCATCCCCCCTGGGGGGTGATTTCTCGTGCTGTCTGTCTCTCTGTCTCTCTCTGTCTGTCTGGCGAGCGCACGTACCCTATAGCAAATATCTCTCAAAAAAAAAAAAATTTGCTGTAAGGTGTATGCACTCACTGGAGAGAGACAGACCGAGAGGGGAAAAGAGAAATCACTCCCCGGAGGATGGTCATGCCACAATCCCTTCTCCTCCAGTTTCCTCTTGGGATTTTGGGCGTGCATGCACATGTGCTCAGCATATTTGTAAAGCTGCCAGGTCTGGGACTTGAACTGCTCAGTTGTCTATGTGGGATCCAGCTGCCCTAAGCACCATGCAAAGTGGCTACCTTCACCTAGATTTCTCTTTTTAAATAGCTTTATTGAGATACAATTCACATACCATGTAACTCATCCATTTAAAGTATATAATTCTGTGGGGTTTAGTATGAGAGAGTTTTCAAAAAGTTTATGGAAAAGGGTATATTATGAAAAAACTAGGCATATGTTTCCCCAAGAAAATTCAGATAAAAATAAACTCCATTTTAATCACATTTTCCATGAACATTTTAAAATTCCCTTGAGTATGTATTCACAGATGTATTCTCATCACCACAGCCAATGTTGGAACATTTTTGGCACCTCATAAAGAAACCCTTTACCTTTTAGCTATCAGCCCCCTACCTGTCCTGTGGCCCTCATTCCTAAACAGCCACTAATCTATTTCCTGCCTCTATAGATTTCTTGTCTCTTGACAGTTTATATAAATGGACTCACACAATATGAGCACTCTCTTTGTCTAGTTTCTTGCACTTACTGCCCAGTGGCCAGAAAGCACATTCATTCTACGTATCTAGCTTTTCTGGAAAAAAAAAAAATCTCCACATGAACTGGAGCTGTACAGGCAGCTCTGAAAGGAGTCCCTGCCTGTCCCTCCAGCAATTCTGTCCTTATCACGTATTTGTCCTGCCACTACAGCAGTCTGACACACCTGCTTGGCCCCTTAGGTACAGGATTTGCGACCCTAGCAAAATGCTCTTTGACCGATTGATGTCTGTGTTGTTTCCAAATCATAGCATCTTAAAATACCCAAGTTATTTTTAGCTCACTTTCAGTTCAGCCTGGGTAAGACTGGACCCTCTTGAAGTGCTCTGTCTGGTGGAAACACTTCCTTCTGAAATAAACTCCACAGCCACCCAGAGTGGAGAGCGAAGGGAGTGGATAATAGAACTGTGACCCTTAAACTGTTTAATAGGAAATAACAAAGTTGGGTCAAAGGGACATACTCACATCTGAGCCCAGAAAATCTTCCAAATGGCGTTCAAGATTTGCTTGGGTACCAGCTGGTTTGTGGGGGTGTTCCGATACCTGCATATGTGGTGACTCCTGCTTAGACATGGTTAAATTGATTTTTTTCAAATTTATTTATTTTTGGCTACAGTTTTCAATTAATTCATCACCTTCTAAATATAGTATGAAGTTCCTATGTAGCATAATTTAAATTTTTTCTTTCTTTTCCATTCAATCTGTGTATCATTACAATATACCAAATGAATTTTCCCATTCTGAATACACTGTATATAGTAGGTTCAAAGATATTACCATACCAATTATCATAACAGATCATGTTCCATTTTTGTGTCCCTTACATGTTTTATTTTTTTCTTTTCCTTGATCCTCCCTCCAACCTCCTCCATTTTCCACCCTCCTCCCACAGTCTCTAGTATCCGCAGTTGCTCCCTATGTCTTTATACCTTCCAATCTTTCGTTTCCTGCCTATATAGCATAAATTTAAAATGAAGGGACAGGGAGACACCACAGGTTTAAAATATACAGTGGGCATTCTGAGGCGTCACTCTGTCTGCTATGTTTACTCTAATTCCTGTCGTTGATTTGGCAAGCTCTCCTTCCTTTGAGGACTCAGGTCCACCACCAGGTGCTCCCCATGGGCCATATTTGTTGCACAAGACCCATCTCTCAGGCCAAAGCTGACCACATGAGGAAGAGGAGCAACCAGACGTCCCCAAACTACCTCCAGGATCTTTTCTCATATTCCTTTTCAGAATAGAACCCTAGGAGCTCCGGCTGGGCCTATGGTCCCCCAGCAGAGATGGCTTTTCACAGTTCCTAGCAGCTGGGGCAAATAGGGTCAAGCCAATGGGATTGTGCAGAAATAAAGGTACAACTTCCAAGCAGGATCCTTAAAGACAAAGCAGCTCACTCCACCTTTCTCTTCCTCCGCCTGCCAGCACACGAACTGCAACACTGGTGGTAGCTGCTTTGGTCCGGAGATGGAGGCCCCACTTTGGGGGCATTTGGATCGCCTTGTCCAGCATGAGCGTGTTGGCTCATTTGGGAACTATTAGAAAAGTATACGTGTGTAGTATATATCTTAGGTCTGGGTGATAAAACACCACAAACCAGTGACTTAGAATAATAGAAATGCAGTCTCTCATACATCTGGAGACCAGAAGGCCCAAATCCAGGTTTTGACAGAGCCACACTCCCTCTCAGGGCTCTGGAGTAGAAGTAGGAGTCCTCCTTGCCGCTCTCCCAGCTTCTTGCAGTTGTTGTGCTCCTCAGCTCCTCAGCTTGCCTTAGCATGTAGCCTCCATCATCCCACGGCCTTCTCCCTGCATGGATCTGTGTGTGTGCTCCCCTCTTCCTGGAAGGACACCAGTCATTGAATTAGAGTATGCTCCAATCCAGTATGACCTCATGTTAACTATCGATAACTACCTCTGCAAAGGCCCTATTTCCAAATAAGATCAGATCCTAGAACTCCAAGTGGACCAGAATTTTGGGAGAATTCTATTCAGCCCAGTACAAGGAGAGAAATGTAAACATTGTTTATTTAATTGGGCTGTTAGAAAAGTCATGCTGTATTAAAAAATACATCATGACTTTTCCAACAACCCAATATTTGCTGTTATCTTTTCGTCCCTTTGTTATAACAGCTTAATCTGTACTTTAGCCTGTCAGATGCCGTCCCCAGGAATTTGGACCTGGTCTGTCAGATGCCGTCCCCAGGAATTTGGACCTGAGGCCAAGACAGCCAGGTAGAGCTGATATCTTGAACTGAGGACATGACGATTCAGAAAATGGAGCATCTTTATTAAAAGAAAGATGGGATACTCAGTGACCTCAGCTGAGGCCCCCCTCCCCCCGCCAGTCCC